AAATGCTATCTATGTCTATTACATTTCCCACAATTACATATCAAATTAAACTTGCAGTTTTATATATACCAAAATATTAGTGATTTTAATATAGAACTAAAATCACTGTTCCCCCTCCAATAAAAATTATTATTGTCACGAATTTAGTAAATAGGTAGATGATTTTAATGCAGTGATATGTGAAATTGTTGTATTTTTTGTGTAAGATAACAGGAAAATCTAGAGAGACGAGCTATACCGGAAAAGTAGGAATACAGGGGCAAGTCTATTTAACGTTGATTAACTGGATATCTCGGTAATTTGGTGAGATATCGCCAAGCTGATAACGGATTTGACGACTAATTTTTATCGCCAAATTTGACGAGAAACAGCCAAAAGTCGCCATACTTGACGAACATTTGCTCCGTAATAAATATTTCAACTCAATAAATGTAATTCATCACTATATTAACTGTAACCGTAATTCGGCTTTCATATTGCCTTCCAGTAATTTCGAGAATCAGAAAGTACTAGAAAGAGCTCGGCGACCGGGTGAAAACTACATAAGGGCCGGAGAGTACATCTGTTGTGGTTAGCTCAAAGAATCTCTAAGGAGAAGAATGAAAGCTTCCATTGACGCAATGTAAACCTGTTTCGCCTCTGCGCCGCTGTACCGAAGAGCCACGGCTATGCAGTGAAACACCAGCACAGGGTGAATTTAAATAGCGCCGTCCGAGATAGTAATTTTTTTACTTTGAAATAACTCAAATGTTTTATTTCATACATTTCTGAGTTTTCTTAGCAAAGATTTAGTTTGAATTTTGGGCGAATTATAGAATCCTATGCAATTTTTTACTTTCAATTTAAACGCGAGCCTACGAAGACAATTTAAATGAATAAATTTTCTTATACTAACAGGATTCATAGACTTTTGTTTTGATAAATGTGTGAATTGATCTTTATGTTCTTTCTTTATTGTTTTCCATGGAACATCCCAAGTTCATTGCAAAATGAATTTTTTAAAAAAGTGAATAATTTTATATTTTATATGCTTATTTTTCCCCCTTACCCTCCTTTCTGTAAATCCAATATGTTTTCATTTGATCTATATCCAGCATTCTTATACAACATCAGATTATAGAAACAAAGTTAACTAGGCTGTGATATTAATGTCTAACAAATCTTCAATTAATTACATAAAACGCTATTGTATCGTTCATATCAAGGCATATTTAAATATAAAATTAAAATAACACCTTTTAAGTAAAACAAAAATTTTATTGACATTTCTCAAGTTTCATAATAAGGTATGCAATAATTTATAGCACTTCACAATACCAAGGAATTTTTTCGACAATTATTTGGAATGACCAATATGAAACCTAGCAAGTTTGCAGCAAGAGCCAAAAGCATATTTTCTTAATTAAAAATACAACTTCACTTAAAAGTCTTTAAAGATTTCACTAAATATTAAAATAGCTGATTTCATTCTTTTTTCTCAAAATTCAATACTTCTTCATTTATTAATTAAGCTTAAGTACTTAACATGAAATTAAACCTATGTATCATAAACCGCCACAAAACAAAATTCTGTAAATAATTATTTATACTCAAACAATATTGTAGGCCATTGGGACAAAAATTATTTCAATATAAATAGGAATACTTTTTTTTAAATAAAATTACAAAATGATTTCTCTGTGATACTTTTCTAACCTTCGCTCAAACTAAAATCTAAAAGGCTGTAGCTTGGATTTTCATGATTTTAATTTTGCAAAACTATTTATCCAAATAATCAACAAATGATACATTTAATTCGTAAACTTAAACCTTAATATCCATACAATCCGTAATAAATTTTTATGACTCATATTAAATGTACAGTGAAATTTAAAAAAGCAAAATTTGCATATACTAACTGAACAGAAAAATAATTAAAACAATCAAAGCACCGCAAAATAAATTGAAACCTGAGACATTATAATTATCCGATGACAACTTTAAAAAAATACCATGAAAAGTTTAGACAATTATTTGGAATGACCATTATTAAAACCAAGACAAAGTTGCACCCACTAGCCAAAACCATTCACTTACAGCATTACATTCAAAAGTCTGCTAAAGATTTCACATACTAGAACAATACCCTCTGACTACACAACAAGAACCTTTTCGAACACGCGTAAAGATTGCTAATATGGCCGACGGCATGAGGATGTTATTTCGCAATGCGCAGTGAGGTACGGAAGGTGGGGATTGCCCTTTAAAATAAGCTTCAGGGTATAACAAAATGTGTCTCTCGTCTGACGGAGCCACATTGCCTCGGGGAACATTACTTCTTAGATATTCTTTGGTTGGCTGTTGCTTCAGCGGAATTCCGAGTACTATCCCGTCGCTCAACGAGATATATACTGTGAGAGCTATTGCAACCTTCAACCGGTTCCAATATTAGTGTCACGTGACTGCTGCGCGAATTCCGAAAGTGCGAAATACTTTACATTCTTTCTATGGACGAAACTGCTGCTCTGCTTGGGTCACATAAAATTTAAGTAAAAAATTGTTATTCGCTGCACCGCCTACGGATGTAAAGAAAGTTTCGTGAAAGGAGGACTTGTACCTTCATGGTAGTTAAAACTGCATGATTTATTTTTATTTCAGTATTTTGTCATTTTACTATCTCTGTTGAATTGGTTTGAAAGTTTCAGCCAGTTGTATAAGAAAATTGCCGCCGGTATATGACATTTTCAGCATGTATTATTACATCAAAATGTATTAAATACTGTGACACTATTTACTGGAATCACCCTTTACAAATAAATTGAATTTTAATATGTTTTTTCCGTGATTCCGTTGAAATAGAAAGCTGCGCAATTGGCGTTAACCTTTTTCGCCAAGTCGTACGCGTTTTGATTTCTAAGCAATTACTGCTTGCGATAAAAAAAAAAAAACGCTATTTTACATTAAATTATTGAGAAAAGATAGCGATATTTACTTTTTTTAAAAAAAAAAGCTAAAGATCTGATTCATGCAACATTGACTAAAGTTTATTTTAAAAATCAAGATTACTTTTTATAAAGCTCATGCTTTATCATTATTTTCTATAAAATCAATTAAAATAAAAATAAATTAAAAATACGTCTCATCTACGATGCTGTTAGAAATTTATTGTATTGAAAAAATGCGATGTGAAAAACTTAGTATATTTTAAATAGTATTTAATAAAAAAAAAAAAAGGGAGAGTGAGAGAATAATTTTTAACTGTAATATCGTTTTGATCCTAATAATAAATACTGAGTTGAAGTTTGTTACCGTTTGATACATATTCAATATAAAATAAATTTTATAGTTAATAAGATGTATTGATCTCCCCATGACATACACATGAGTGTGGAAATCAGTAATTAAGATTGCATTATTTTGTTCCAGTAATATAATCTCAAGAAAAGAGAGTGCATTATTTTGTTCCAGTAATATAATCTCAAGAAAAGAGAGTGCATTATTTTGTTCCAGTAATATATTCTCAAGAAAAGAAAGACAATCAATGGCATAAAACATATAATACAATGTGATTTTCTTTTTCTCTTAGGATGCAATGCATTAAAATTAAACGAGATTTTTTTTTACCTTCTCAAATATTATAACAGTAGTGCAATTAATTTTTTAACGTTTTCAAAATTAAAGTTTCCCATCTCAATTTTTATTATTTATTTTAGATTTTCTTCCTAAAATTATTTAACCTAACATCTAAACAATGGTGGCAATAATTTAAAGCAATTATTAAAAATAGATAAAATATTCAGGAAAAAAAGGGTTAAGTTATATCTAAATATAATTGTAAAAAATCGAACAACCTAATTCGAGGCCGTTGTCTACTGACTGCTAGCAGACGGAAATAAAAAGTACTACCTGCCATATCAAAAGCGGGCCAAACTGGTGATGAACAGCCTAAGCTATCACTCCCCAAGAGCGCCAAGAGCATTAGTCACGTGGTATATGTTGGAGACACCCTAGCAGACGAATTCTCTGTGGGTGAGCCGTCTACCTGTTATATGAAGTAGTTGGCTTCGCTTCGCTCTTTAGCAGCTCTTTGCATTGCATTGTGTTTAACATTCTTAGTAATTTGAAGTGTTACTTCTGATTGCACTCTGTGATACTGTGAAAATTATAGGAGAATTTTTGTGGAATGTTCAAGAGCTCTGAAGTGTTTCTTTTGATAAAATAAATTTTATTCAGCCTATCATTAGACTTGTGTGCATTCAATCTATTACGAACACGTACGCGTGCAACAGTAATTATTGAAGGGTCTAAGGTTATTATTTAAGTAAGAAGTTATTATGATTTTGATCTTTATTATAAATTATTCTTTCCGTATTCCTTACCAGAATGCAAATTAGCTATGTAGCTGAGAGTTTTGAATCTTAGACAGAGAAAGAGTTTCTGGTATTTGTGCGGCACTGTTAGAATTTCGCCACTGTTGCATAAAAGGACCTGTTCATGAATGTTATTTGTGCATGTGGGTGTAAAAATTTTGCCAATTTTTCTAATAATTTTCTCGTGACGTAAGTCTTCTTTCTTTACGTAATGAATTTAAAGTAATATAAGGGTATCTAATTTTACTATTCCCATTTTCTATGAATTATTAATATTTTTTTTCAATTTATGCTCTTTGTTTTATATTTTGGCGATAAAATATTAGAGATCAAGCTAATATGAGAGTAGCAATGCTTTGAGTTGAAATATTTATCTTAAAATTATTTTACTAAAACTGTAGCTAACGTGAAATGTATTTGTTCTGTATTACATGTAGGAGTTTACTTTGTCTTTAGATGAAGGCTATCGTTTGTGACAGATAACACCCATTTTAACCGCAGCTTGTTTACAAACGCTATAAACAAGCTGCGGTTAAAATGGGTGTTATCTGTCACAAACAGAATAGTGCTTGCAAAATTAGTATTTTTTCCCTGAGTAACCAGTTCAGCAGATTACTGTTTGCACTCTTCCATGCTTTTCTTTTTGCGATAAAAGCTACTTTAAATTCCTTTACAGACCTGAATTGTCTCCAATTTTTTCAAGGTGCGCTCTTTCCTAAATTCTTTAGCTTTTACTTCTGACAGTTATCCTAGTTGGGCTTATTATGCAAGCCGCATTTCAGCAAGCAAGTACGCCTTTTATAGTCTTGTTAATTATTAAGAAATGTGAGTGTATTATTAAATAATACACGTTTTTAAATGAGTCATTTTATAATTCTGATAAGCATTATATTGCAACAGTGCTTAAAACTTATTATGTATGAATTGGGAAAAGCTAATGTAGGGTTCGAATATTACAATTAGCTAAGTTACAGGTATAGAATAGAAATAGAAATTATCGCCCGTGTTTATGGCTAGCATGTCCACTAGCAAACTTAAAGATCTGTGATTCGAATCTAGGGATGAGCACATTTGATTACTTGTGTCTTCTAGCTCCGAAACGCTAATAATTCTTTAAAATAAGATTTTCTCGCACTTATCTTAAACAAGAAAGGTAATAAATAAGTTACAGTAAAATAGTTTAAATACTTTTGTTATTTGAAACTAAATTAACGTTACTTTTGATAGAAAAGATCAAATAATAAATTATTTCAAAATATATGCCTACTAAAATATGAAATATCAATACAATAAATATGAAGTGTTTAACTGTTCATTTGGGATGTATATAGAATTCAGAAGAGCATTTTAAGGAAAATTAATAGAGCCCCGATTATCCAATGTATAAATGTTTTATTTGTTTTTATTTACCAAGAGTTAAATTTTAATTTTATACATTGTCTTTTTCTTTTAGGCCTCGGTTGCAATAATTCGTATTTATACGCAATTATTCCTTACTCAAAAATAGATTTACGGTGCAGTTTCTTAATGTATCTTGCACTGAAACCTGGTGAGATTTTTCTCTGTTTGACGAGGGTCCAACAGCGGTAGAGCGGTAAAGTCGCTGAACATTAGTAGTTCAACCTGGACACTCTCTCATTAAAATATAAATTTCAAATCTTAAAAGAATTTGATAAGAATACTGATTTTACGAAAGTTGAGTTTGCAAAGAAACTGGATATTCCTTTGACATTACTAAAAATGGTTGTTTATGATAGAAAAAAAAATTGAAAGAATGTGCAGAAAGTTGTCGACAGTCCGCCTGAAAGAAATTGAGTTTCAAGACGAAAGTTACCTGAGGTCAAACACATTTTGCTAAAATTTTTTATTTGATGTCATACATCCAATATTCCAATGAATGGTCCCATGATAATTGAGAAATCAAAAGAAATAGTGATTCGAATGAATGTTAAGGAAGCTTGCTTTTCAACTGGATGGCTGTATAAGTTTAAAAATGTTCAGAATGGTAATTTAGGTAATTCAAATAAATGTAAAACTTTTTTTCAGTTTAACGTAACTACTTACACAAATTTGCATTCTTATGATTTTGAAAATATTAAATTTGTATTAATTTCAATTTTAAAATATTCATTAAAAAAATTATTTTAACTGTTTAGTTGTTTAAAATATTTATATTTTTTAACTATTTATTTAAAATATTAAATTTTAATTTGTTTCAACATAGTTAACAAATTAACAAATTGAAAGTACGATACTAATATTGTGCAATATCAGTAGTACGTTAGTAGTATCAAAATTGTGCAACTAATATATATTTGATTCACATCGTAAATTAAAATTTAAATTTGTTCGAACATAGTTAACAATTTAACAAATTGAAAGTACGATACTAAAATTGCGCAACATCAGTAGTATGTCAGTAGTATCAAAATTGTGCAACTAATATATATTTGTTTCTCATCGTAAATTAAAATTTCGTTTATACGCCTTTTTCATTTATAAGTCGTTTATGAATGCACCCTTGAATGTCGTATAAACGGTGCTCCACTGTATATATATATATATATATATTAAAAGTAATTAAAAGGGAAAACATAGGAACAAAAAGCCTATAACTTGCTCTACAGCTGCATCGTATGCAACAAACTTTTTTTTATATAAAAAAGAAGAAACAGCTATCTTCCAGGAAAAACTTTTTAAAAAAAATGAAAGTGCATGCCAAAAATACAAATAATAAACCGAAAAAAAAAATAGATAAGAAGTATAAAAAATACTTAAAATATATAAGTATGTGTTTAATTTTTTGTTCAAAATATATCTGCATATTTTTATATTATTAAAATGTACAAATTATGGGCCTGGTCGATGCAATATTTTAGTTGAATGCAATTTTATGTTTGTCTTTAAAAAACGCCTTTACCAAGAGGGTAGGGAAAACCCAATTTTTCAAAAACTAAAAAAAGGAAAAGCAAAAACTTGCACATGAAGCATCTAAGTAATTCCAAGACCATTCTTATGGATATTATTCTGTTTTCAGAGAGCGAAAGTCCAGTAGACCGTGATCATTGGAGCTCAGTGATGTGACTGCAGGTATTCAGGACAGGGGTCACTTGCAACGAATTAAACATAGCCGGTGAACACATTATCTGCAGCGGCCTGAGAAAGTCAAAGGTAAGTTTAACCCAAATTATGAGTTCCTTTTGTATGGCTTTCTCTGATGTAATCCGTGCTTTGTGAGTAAGTGTTTCCAGTTTGTACTCTAAAAAATAATGTGCTATTAATTTTACGTATTATTTCAAAATTTTTTTAAATATGACACTGCTAAAGGTATGTTATTAAAATTTTATTTTACAGTAATATGTATAGTACAATAATATCATAATGTCATAATTTCATATGTTTTAATAATATTATATATTATATATTTATGTTATTATCGCATAATTTAGTAATAACATGGTATAATAATATTTTATTGAGATCGCTGTAATTATTAAAAATATATATTTGTAATATATTACTATTTAACATTTAATTCAATGTTAGGTACTACTGATACTTTTAAAAAGCTTATTAATTTCGCAGCACTTTATCATTCTATTTTAAACAAATCTTAGTACAGATTTTTGAAAACCTCTTATTTATCTGTTAGTTTAAATTTTATTAATGGCTTACTGTTTGAGGGAAATTCTGTAATTAAAAAAAAAAAAAAAAAAAAAAAGAAATTACACCTACTGTCCAAATTTGTAGTAGATGAAATTTGATAAAAGAAACACATATTATTTTCAGGTTATGTACAAGTCAATCTCAGTATAATGCACTTGTTTTATAAAAATGTCGTATACATTCTGTGAGAATCTTACACGAGAGCCATTTCTTCAAAGGCAGAATATATTCTGTAGATGAATTCTCTAAAAATATGCATAGCAAGCTGTCCAGTTAATCAATCCCGATGCAATTTTCAATCGATCACGGCTTCCGAATTTTTTAAATTAAATATATAAATTTTCTTCTCCTTACAATATTTTAGTTAATTAAACTTCATCAATGTTCATTAATGAACCCATCGCCGGATTTTGTGTGTTACCTTTATTTATTAAATATCATATTCTTCGCACTTCAACCATAAAATTCAGTTCAACAGCAATATCGCAAAATAATTTTAAAATGAGCATATAGCTTTGGAAATTCCGATATACAGTCTCACGCGCTGAAGAAAAACATTTTTTTTCCCCGTACACTGTTACTATTGCTCGCTTTGAAATTGTTGAGTTTGTTAATCAAAAATTCATTGAAGGTTTACAAAATAAGAAATAGATAATAAAACTAAATTCGAAAATCAAAATTCGGACTTCCAGGTGTTCATGTTCGGGTGGAGGACGTTATGTTATTCAAAATTTGACGGCTCTAGGTACCGTTGTTTATCACAGTTTATGGTTGTTTTATCACAATGCGAGAAACATACATACCTTTATGCAGTCTCTTCAATATTTAATTTCTTTAAATATAATACAGGGCACTAATATTTGGTGGCAACAATTTGAAAAGTGAATCAGCGCAAAATGCCAAAACGAAATTAATAGTCCTTCTGGGCAAATTGCCCCTTTGGACTAAAAATAAAAGCCTTATAAAATCTTACTTGTTTTAAAATCTGCTTGACTAGTTAAACTGATATCTCCATTTATGTAGTGTTTTCATTAAAAAAACCGCTTACATTTTCGAGTTCTTTCTCCAATATTAGCGTAAAACTTTATGCCGAATATTGTTAATGCCTCGTATATTATTATTATTATTTTATTATTATTATTATTCTTATTTATTATTATTTATTATTATTATTATTATTATTATTATTATTATTTTTTTTTCCTTAAATCATGTATGTACGTATCATGGTAAACTTTGTAGCAAATTTATACGGATCGATAAAGTATTATAAAGACGCTGTATGGACTTGCTAAAATGCATTCAGCTTTGTCAGCATTTTGTTCCATTAGAATAAGCTTCTATTTTTCTTATTTTTTAAAGTGTTTTGCTTCGTCTTGAACAGAAGGATTTTGTGATTCTTCTTGATAGGAATGAAGTAAGGCATTTTGTATTTTTATATATCTATTCTGAATCTCTTTTATTGCATCTGCTTGGTATAACCACATCTTCCTATTTTATCCAGTTTATTTCTGTGCTTCTTCCTCACGTCACCGAGCACAGGCAGTTTATTTTCGTTTATACGGTTTGAAGTAGCAGATTTACAGTTGTTTTATGTCCAAACACTAGCATTACACAGAAAAAGTAAATGGAAGATAAAATTTCGGAGAGAAAGTTTGTCTTCGGTCTCAAAAAGCTTCATTTCTTTTTTTGTTCCTTAATTCTTTTTAGATATATAGGAATTTAGTAGCTAATTTTATTGCTATCTTTTTGAGGATGTTAAATCAACCATATTTTTCCCTCAAATCCAGTTGGAGTTCAAGTTAATGCAAATTGTAATTTCATTGGAAAACAGATTAAGCGTTTACCATTAAAATCATTAGAAATACAATATGCAAAAAACTGAAAATACTTTTTCTTATTTAGAAGTACATAATATTATTAAAATTTAGTTCCTAAATACAAACTGCTACATTTTGCGATACAGAGCCGGTTTGAAGATTTACCGAAATTTTACATTTTTGTCGGCAAATTCTCCACTGACGATCAAATTCGTCATTGGAGACCAAAACCTCAGTTTTTAACATTTTTCCTCCTGAATATTAGCTTCTAGTTTTTTATTATTATAATTATTTTGCTTTTCTAAATGAGTAGATTTTTGTATATTTTTTTAGAAACATTGGGATTTCAAGACTGGAAGACCTTTCTTGTTTCTTCAAATCATTATTGAACGATATATCTGTTTTAGCTGCCTTTCGCAAAGAATGTTGGATACAGAAGAATCCCACGAAGATATAAAACCTTTTGTTGTGTTTTGATTTGGTTTAAATTTGAATCTAGAAGTATTCTTTGCCACCAACCTTGTTCTTTTAAGTGCAATCTATAGAAAAGGCCGTGGAAAAGTATTCGCATTTAAAAGTAATACGAATTTATGTTATGATTCTGTGGAACGCTTTCTGAACCAAAAAGCCCAGTAAAATCAAGATTGCGACTGTGGATAATTTGATAACTGTTATCTCAAAATAAAATCTTTACATAGGCTTGCTATACCTTTAATTTAATGGTGGTGAGTAGGCAACGTAATGGGCTTTTAAGGTCAGATATTTATATTTATATATTTGTATATGACAAAGCACGCGCGGGCTTTCTGCTTAGGAGAGATGCCTTCGTGGAGGACGGTCCAAGGTAAAATGGTTCGTATTTATGTTACACATGAGAAAAACCACAAAAACCAACTATGCAGCCATCCCGTTCGCCTGTGATGAACTTATCTTTGTCACAGCTCCATATTCCGTGTGTAAAATGCTAACAAAAATAGATACAAAGTTAAATCTAAAGCATTAATTTAAAAGGAAAATAGAAATCCTCAAAGTATTTTAACTACTAGTCGCTTATTTTCAATTTCTACATTAGGAATATTTAATCATGCATTCGTGAATTCGTAAATAATTCAGATGTAATTTCTCTTCAGATCGACTCGTGAGACAGAAAAAACGTTTTACTGCCTCAAGAGTAATTTCGTAATATACAATTCCTCTTGAAACAATAGGGGGGAAAATGCACTAAAGTTCTTAATTGGAAAATTCTGCTTTTGTCAGAGATTAGTTCTGAGCTCATTCTTCAAAAGGAAGCAGCATTTTTTTCTGCGTTTGGGAACAGGAAATGGATTAGCTTTATAATAACGAAGCAGCAACTATTAATTAATAAATGAATTAAAGCAAGCTTTGATTTATTTGTCTAAGTAATATTTACCTGGTTTCTGAACAAAAGCTATTGTTCTGATTTATTCTAATGCAAAGATTAAAAAAGTTCGTTTCATTCAATAGCATAGCGTGTTTTCTGGCATAAAAGTGTTAGGACAAATTAATATCCTCTAAAAAGCTCACCGGTTTACCCGCCGGGTGTAAAATATCACAATAATGTCTCTTTTATATTAAGTTAATAATTATACTGAATAAAAGTAATTATTTATATACTTATTATTCCAAGTAAAACAGTAAGAAAAAAATTTATTTTTACTTAAACAAATTGAAAACAAAAAATTGCTGTTGCTACGAATTTCGCATACATGTAAATAATTTTAGTAAAATTATGTATAAATTGTAGCATCTCTTGTATCATGTATCATAAAAGGCCTCAGAAGTGTGAAGCATCGCCGGAAAAGTAGGATTACAGGATAAATCCATTTAACATTGAGGTAAATGGCCAACGTCAAGATGGCGATGGTTTTGACGAACAATTTTTGTCTTAAAATTCGGCGAGAATTTGCCAAAACTCGCCAAACTTGCCACCATTTGGTGACATTTGGGTCTGATCCCTGTGTAACTGGTCCGATCCGTAAGTAAATGTAACTGTATCCGGCCCAATGTAACTGTAACTGTGCATGTCTTCCAGCAATTGCGAGAAATCGAAGCTACTGGAAATTTCTCGGCGGATGGAGGAAACTGTACAAGACCAGAGCCAGTATTGAGACCAGGATAATATGAGACCAATTTAGTTACTTCATGTTACATTCTTTTTTAACTCAGATTACTGAGAGTTCAGGGTATAGAGTATTAAAGGACTACTTTGCGAGCTTACGCATTTGAGGATTTTTGTATTGTCAAGTGGTAACTATTGCTTGTGCTTTATCATACTGAGAAGAGCTATATGAATACTTTTGTGTGAAAAGTTCCAGAATTATAAAGTGGTTTTCTTTTCTTTTCCTTTTTTCTAAATAAATTTCATCTAGCTATCATCGGTTCTGTGTACTTTCATTTTTATTTCTTGATTTATCTTTTATTCGTAGACTGAGATTTAAAGCCAATTGCTTTCATAATGAAACCAGAACTCTCATTTTATATTTATCTTATTCCACAGCTGTTGCATCATTGTGTGAAGTTTCATTTTAATTTAACTAAATGATAAGATTTTATGTTTAATTCTTTCATTTATATCTCGTTTCGCCGCGTATTCTCTCAGTCCAGAAGTTTGCGCAGATTTTAGGGCATACGAAAAAATTTGTATTATTCAAATTGAGAGGAAGA